GCCCACTGAATTCTTCTTTCCACAGCATTCTGTTAAACGCTCAATTAGAAAACAAAATAAAAAACACAGTACTGTTGCATTAGCTGTTTTCACGTGCAGATGGGCTGAGAACCTTCTTCATAGCCACAATACCTATAGCACAACTATCCACCAAAGAGAAACCTAAATTCCATGGATTTACTGCAGCAGCTTTGAAGCACGTAAGCTGCCAAACCATTCAGAAACTTAACAGATTTGTTTATGGACTAGACAAGGCTTAATTAAACCAGGCAGCTCTGAAGAACAGTAAATCCTCTCTCTTTCTCTCTTCCCCTCCCCCCTCTTTTTTTCCTAGAGTATCTGTCTCCCATTGGCTTTCCTCTTCCTAATAATCCCATCACAAATGACAGATATGTTATCAGTCATCACTGGGATTTGACACATTCTTAATACCTGTCATGACAGCTCTGAAGTCTGCATGCTACTCCATTGTATTCCAAAGCATTTGCAGGAGGTAATGGACACATCAAATAGCAGTCAATGGCTCTGCTTTATTGAACTGCTGAAGGCTTGCAATACAGAAGTAGATGCTTAAAAAAGCCTAATCTGTGATTATTCAAAATTGCACACATAGTAATTAAATATAAAACAGTATAAATAGCTTTTTAACTCTCTATGCCTGTGATCATCCTGGCTACATTGTAGAATTTCTTATTAAACAATTATTGATAAGAATGTTTTAATATTTTAAAAAAGGTATCAGTATTGGTAATAGTGAAGATCGCATCAGTAGTCCAAGGTCTTCATTGAAAGGTTCAAAGTATGATACTCATGCTGATCATGTCGTAGTGTATTGTTGTGCCCATACAGAATCTCTCCTGGTTCCTTAGGTCTCTGCTTTACTTTAACAGAAAACCTGATGCAGAAGTGAGGTGCAAGTCATGGCTAGAACCAGAGTCAATATCAAAGGTGAATACCTGAATTGATATGAAGATGAGGGGATTGTGAAGTGTGTCATTCACAGCAATTGTCAATATTGTAAAAGATGAAATGTGAGTGCAGTAGAACATGAGTTTGAAGAGCAAGTGTCTCCCTGATGGGGACAAAAGGAAAAGACAGTGTCTTATCACTGAGCAATAAGGACAAGGAACACCAACTAACAAGGCTTTGTATGAATCCATTCCTAATGCCTGATAATTTCTGGGGATCCCTTAATACAGGTAGTTTTGTTTTTTCATTCAAGCCCTCAAAGGAGCTGTAACAGATATAGCACCCCACAGAACCAATTTAATACAGAGCTCTCCAAACAGATGTATTTTCTTTTGATCAAATTCTAGTATTACTTCAGATGATTCTGGTCATCTGTGTGTAATAACTTTTCAGGCACAAAAATAAAATAATTTTTTACTGTAACATTTCTTTCAAGTCCTAAACTTGCAAAAGGCTTTCTCTCAGTTGAGTTCAGCTGCCGCAAAACATATAGCCACAGTCTCTGCCAACAGCATATGAGCTGCATGACAGCAGTGCACTTTGCCATTAGTAAAAGCAATGGCTTGTTGTTCTCAATGCATTTACAATTTTGCACAAAAGCAGAAAAACCCACCCTCAACAAAAACAAAAAACCCACACAGATCAGAGACAAAGCAGCCCTGTGTAACTTAAGGCCTTTTCAGCAAGGCAATAGAGCTAAGGCAGAATTGTGAGCTGGTGTCAAAAGGAAGTGTCCCATTGACATAATTAGCTTTGGAGCAGGTCTGGAGTGAAGAAGACAGGCAAAACACGTTCAGCCACCTAAGTGATTGCATGTCCTTTAAACAAAATTAGTGTGTCGTGGTTTAAGAGTCTCAAGGCATTGTTTGCATCTACAGGAAACGGATGAGCAAACTGGGCTTTCTTACAGCGCAATTTTATTTAGGAGAGATACAGAGCAAGTTTTGCACCTGTCAAGCACTTGGGAACAAAGTGATGGCATTTAGAGGGACAGGAATGTTGTCCCCAGGATGCAGCAAATCCTGTTCAGGGATCTAAACCCCTGCAATAACAGCACTGGTTGAACATTAACCACCCTGCCAGGTGAAGCACTTTCAGAACAGCTGAAAGGTGAAGTTTGTATCAGTAGGCTTCACACCGGACCAGATACTGCAAGTTCTTGAGCAGGCAGTATAAAAACATACCACTAATAAACTTGGTATCATATTTTCTGATTATGATCTTATACTAGGGCCTGTTCCAGTTCAAATTTGTACTGTCAGCTGAGCCGGGGCTGCATGGAGGCAAGATCATGGCAGCACAGTCCCATCGAGAAGTCTTCCCAGCTCCCTCCTGGCTCCGCTCCAAAGGAGCTTTAATGCTTTTCCTGCTGTCTGTGCTACCAGTTATTCCTTTCATATACCCTCTCAGCTGCAAGCAAATCAACACGCCAATCCCTTGGGACACATGGCTTAGCTTATACTTAAGACTTGCCATTCTGCTTTGTGCTTTGGACATTGATTTCCATTGTCTCAGCTATCACTCAACAAAAGGGCATTTAATTGCTGTCTCATTTAGTCTGGGGGAGAAGAGAAGAACAACTTTTACCAGTCCTCTGATTGATGGCAGCCATTAGCACCTTCTAGCACAATACTGACTTACTAGAAGCACGATTTACATGTGAAGTTCACTGCCACACAAGTGAATCAGATTTGCAGCTATGCCTACTTGAACAACTTCAGAGACAGAATCTTCTAATGAAATGAATTTGCAAAAATGCTTACACTGGCCACCCATTTAAAGGGAAAACTTTGAAGATTAATGAGCTTCGTTGAAAACTGCTAGAAACAAAAGAAAGTTTAGTAGAGATCTCCTAGTTTTTGTTTCACTTTTTAAGCACTACCATGTAGGTGCTTAAATGGTTGTAAAAAAAAAAAAAAGGAATTAAAAAACCAAGAGAAAAAACCAGCCACTATGCATCAAAGTTCCCAATTGCTGAGGAATCCCAAAAACCGTTTTCCACTCTTGGGTGAGCATTTCTATTTTCTTTGTGATGGAGGAAAGAAGAAAATTAATATCCACATTTAATGTCCTCCACGTTCTGTAAAGCAGTAACCCACTTGCCTTGGTGTTCAAGCCAAACTGCTGACAGTGGATTTTTAGTATTTGTCTCGTTTTATTAAAAAGCACAAGGACGTTAATTTCCCTTTCAAAAGAACAGTCAAGAAACAACTAGATCAGTGAAGGCTTCTTGAAACACCACCTTTAATCAGTCCAGTTATGTGAAACTTGAAGTAATTTCAGTAAAAGTTGATGTAGTTTGATGTAGCTTATCAAAACATTTAATAATTACAAAATCTAACATCAAGTGCCTTTTGAACACCAGGCTTCCCAGTCAGACATAGGAACAAGCTGAGGCACTGGGTATTATCAGACACACCTTTGTGCATTTTTTAAAATATTTGCTATGGGAGAGGCAGATTGAGAAAGGCTGACTTTCAGCTAGGGGATGATATACACCCAAACATGCAAGAACCCACGTTGTCTCAAGCCGTGGGAGCACTAACCCTGGCCAGGCAGAGGCTTTCTAAAACCATGTTAGCTATACCCGCAAAAAAGCACTTCTGAGTAGTTTCAAAACATATACTCTGTTATGCACAAAATTGGTTTAAAATTCCGCAACAAAATTACTCTGCTATTACTTGCTTTCAGTAAGTCCACTCCTTACATTCACATCCCACATAAGACCCACCTTTGTTCCTCAGTGATACTCATATTTCCTGATGTACATTTCTAAATAAGCTTAAATAGTGGCTATTTCTGTGTGATTCCATGCTTTTTCCTACATTTCAAAAAAATCATAATTTTAGGTACCTAAATGGATGTGCAAAGGCAGAATACTTTTTTTATTTAGAACAGCCATCTTCATTTTAATTCGTTTTGCAGCTCACATGCATGGAAAACTGTATTTTGACCCCTTTTTTCCCATTAGTTTTTAAGGGAAAATAAAACTTAAAGCACTGAAGCATCCAAAACAACAGCAACAACAAATCTAAACAAAACCCCTCCTAAACTGGCATGTGGCCAGATTACTAGCTAAACAGTAGAATATACACTTGTTTCTGTAACTTGGCTCTTTGTAAATTTTATTTTCCCCTCCCACTGTTTCCCTTCTCTTTGGTGTGGGACAGGAGATACATTTCTCTTGCCGGAAAAGCTAAGTGCTATCTGCCGAAAAGTACAGTCTATGGACAATTATTACTGGCAGCTGTGATGAAGGTGGCACACATGATCCCAGCACCACCATTCACCTTCCTCTCCAGGCATGTGCCAGGCTGGAACCAGAGCTCCCAGCAGGGGCAGCTCCAGGAGCATCACCAGCGCCAAGAAAGATGCCAAAACAGCTTTAAACCACTTTGCAGCTAAAAACACAGCTCAAGAGTCATGTTTGTGCAACCCCTCTCTCAATCTTGCTTCAGATCTTTGTCCACTTGAGAATAAAGAAGAAGGTTTTATGAGCTGGTTTCTGAGAAGCCTGCCAAGCCAACACATGCTAACCAACATGAACAGATCCTGGAAAAGAAGGTGATCGAATCTCTCCGATCATCCTCAGTCACAGTCAAACCCAAGCACTTCGAGATTCAGGTCAATCACACATCTGCTCAGCATCCCCCTGGGAGACTCAGAACGTAAGTGCAAAATTAGGGCAAGCACTAGCACAGCAGTAGGCTGCAGCATGTTGCTGGCAGAGGCACAAACCTGCTCTTCTATCCAGAACATAATCTATAAATAGGTTTATGAATACAGAACCTCTGCCAAGCTATTCTTGCTTTCTCTTTTTTTTTCTTTGCTAATTTTTAATGCCTCTTGCAAGACTGGCTCCTACAAGTTTTATCTCCATTAGTAGCAATAAACATTTATTAAATGCTCCAGCAATGTCTGAAAGTCTTGATGAATAGCAACAAATTTGTCTAGAAAAACATAATATATAATATATATAAATTCTCATTTAGAAACTCTAATATATTAAAAAAAAGGAAAAATGAGCTTACCTGAAAACAGAAAATTCACATGAGAAGTCCGTGTGCTCACCACAGCTTGGGAAACAAGAACCCACTTCTGCTGGGACTGTGGGAGGAGACAAGGCAGTGTCAGTGCTTACTCTTGTTCAGCTGTGCTCCAGTGGGTACCAGCTGCGCCCCAGAACTGAGCCCTGGGCTGTCTCCCTCAATTCTTCTCACCTGGAACAACAAACCAGGCTCTCAGCTCCCTCAGCGCAGGAGCGATGCAACATTACACACCCAAGACAGAGTGACGGATGTTCACACTGCCTAACTGCTGGAGATTCAACACAGCCTCATAGAAGGGGAAACTCATTACAGCTGCCATTATTGATAAGCATGGTTCTCTGCTTTTCTCCACTGCAGATGCCCTCACAAAGTATCCTGGGGACACACAAAGCACTAGAAAGCTATCTACAGAGCATTCTAACTCTGCCTTGGAGGGGCCGCTTTTCTAGCAGATAACACTAGACCCATTTAACAAATTACAAATAACAAATTTACTCAAGCCCAGCATGTAGCAAGAACACTTTATTGTAAAAATTTTGCTTTGAGGTGTCAGTGTTTGGGTGACCAAAACAACCAGTGTTAATTTTAAGTAGGGACATTAACAAAAGACTTAAATTACCTTGTACTTTCAACTAGTATCATTCCCTTGTACCTGTTTTTCCCCTCTCCCTCTCAACCCTTACACATTTCACCATCCATTTTCAAGGATGTATGCCTAAATGAAGCCCTTTATTAAGGCTCAATTTTCAAAAGCAATGTCACCTTGCAGTTTCCTTTTGCTTCAGAAATTAGTTTCTAGGGGCATATTCTTGAAAAGCCTGCATCTATACTTATTTCAACTTTCTGGGGAATAATTGAGTATGGAAAGTAAGGTTTAGCCTGATTAAATTTTTATTTCCATCTAACAATAAAAGGAAATGCTTAGTAAAGAACTAGGAAAGCTTTTTTTTTTCATGTTTGCCACCACCTTCACTGTATGCATTTTCTCCAAAAAGGAATCTTTCAACAGTCCAAATCTATAAGCATTTTACATATAAAAACTCTTTAAAAGTTATTTTAATCTCAAATTATCAGAAGTATCTTCTTATGTGCCACAAACTGAAAGGATTCAATGCATTTAGGTAAAACTAACTTGGTAAGAAAATTAAGACAATATATCGTAAGTCCTCTGTTAGGTAATGCTAAGGAAGGACTTAGGGGTAAAAGACAGTGTTGGTATTTACTGTAGAAGAAACTCCAACTTTAGAGTAATACATTTTCTACATGTAATTCTGAAGGCAGGACACTATTTTTAAAATCAGGCTGTCGTGTCACAGGGCTGCCAGACTCGTCTCCAGCGAAAGCAGTGCAAGCTCCACACCTCTCCCTGCCAGCAGCATCCTCCTGGTAATACCTCCTTCCTCTGCTAAGGCACAAGGTCACGCATAACCCCACATCTCTTGTGGATATCACACAGCCACTTCCCAGCCCTCAACTCCTGCTGCATCCACCATGTCCATGAGCCAAAACTTTTAGCTGGCTGATAGGTTTACTGCACAGTAAAAAGCTGGCTTTTCAAAGAGACTCTCAGAAGACTTCTCTGTGTACCTGCTCTCAGCAGAGAGAAATAGAGACATTACTTAATGTCCAGGGAATAAAGTGCAAGAATTCCAGTCCTAAAATATCATAAAGACAAGACATTAAAATAAAAAATAGCTTTTTTCCATCATTAAGGCAAAGGAATGACATATGGGACTGGAAATTTCTCCTTAAATCCAACAGAGACTTATTCCTGTTGCTCTGACACTTCTGTCATTGCTGTCTTCTCCCTTCTCCAAGAACTGCGTATGCCTTCTTTCTTAATCCGAGCAACACATTGGCCATCAGACTATTGCTGCTACTCTGCAAGGGAACACCAAGGCAAGAAAGGGGTAATCCCCTCAGAAAACCACTCATGTGGGTCTACCAAACTACTGGATACACATTCTTTCTTCTCTCATTTTTCAAGAACCATAGGTAGTGCTTTATTCTAATAAAATTATTTCAAATAAATAAAGACCATCAGCAGTTTTTAAAGTGAGCTTTAACCTCAAACAGAGTCTAAGGAGTCTGTTTTAAGACATGGAGGGCTTTTTCTTCAGCAGGCCCATAGTTTGCTTCAAAGCTCATTGTATAAGAAGGAATAGTTGAGATGTCAAGTCAAATACAAGGATCCTGGGAATAGCTGTGCATGATGCTCAGCTGGCAGGTAAGTCTACTGCAAGGATGCAGTTCTGCACATGAAGTCACAGGAGTGAGATTCCCAATTATAAGCAGTAACCAAGGCATGGAATAGAAACCAGTTTACAAGTTTGCCCCCAGCAGCACAGAGAGGAAGATTTGTTCTCTTCTCTGGAAAGAGGACAGCCAATACTGCTTATGTCAAAGCCTGGATCCACAACCCTCCAGACTTAATTAGAAGATCATGAAGAGTACAAAACGGCATTAGAGTCAAGAAAGTGACCATTTTTCAAGTAAATTTAGTAGAGTGAGCACTCTTACATTTACAATTCACACTCTCTCATCCATCCTTTTTTCCTCATTAATGATACAGAATTGGGTGCAGATGCAACAAAACCTGTCAGCAACAGCAAGGTGTCCTAAGGAAAGTCTTGCCTATTATCACAGCCATCTAGATGAAGGTCGCTGACATTGCTAACACCTCTGACTTTTATAATCAATTTCCAGCATTTACAGAGGTAAAAATACCACTAGCTTTGAATACACTCAGAAAGAAAGAAATTTTTCTCAATTAATTTTAAGCTTGCTCTCTCTGATAGCCAAAACACAAAACATGAGGCAACCTTACAAGCCAAATATTAGCGAGATTGGTTTCTGGCAGCCAATGCCATATTCTGTTTGTATATAAACAATTGTAGTTTATCCATCTCTTCAAAATAACAGCAGTATGAATCATCGTAAGGACAGCAGCAGAGAAAACTGCAAAATACTTGTAGCTGAAGAAAAACTATAATTTAATTTTAAAAGGAACTATGAATATCAGACTATCAGCACATTGCTAATACCATATACCTATTTGAGAAATCTAGTATTTTGTGGATTAGTCTCTTGGAAGACCGAAGGGGCTAACCTTTACCTATATTTTTGCTGGTGGTAAAGGATGATGAAGCTCTTGCCGTACACTACACATTCACCCTGTGCCTGCTTTTCAGAACGGGAACAGATATTGCTGCCTTTTAAACTAGTCTTGTGCTGATATTTAGCCAGCTGCAATATTCCACTGCCATAAGCGAGGATGAAGGGCTAAGGAAGAGATTTTCAAACAATTCTTTGTAAATGGTCCACAAGTCCCGTCTGATTTATAAACTGTCAATGTGCTCGATGAGTTCAGCAGTTGGGAAGCCCTGGGTTTGACAGCACTGCCCTTACCTGATAGTTCAAAGTAATCATTTTGAGTTAATACAGGGCCTCAGAGAACACAGGGGTCTCTAACTTAAGACCTTCTAAAGACCTATATTTCAGTCAAAATTCTTGTTCCTGACAGTCCTTCTCATCCTCTGGCTCCTACTTCAAACCATCAGTCAGCTCTTGCTTTTCACAGGAGCTCATTGCTGTATGTTGTAATGTTTGCATCAAAAACAATTGCCAAAGGCATTCCAATTTTCACTAATAATCATCATTAGAAGAAAAAAAATATGGTTGTATTTTTGTCCAAAAAGAACCATTTCCTGATGTTTAGCATAGGCAGGATAATGGTCACAGGCAGCATCTTGGCGCAGCAGGCAAAACTAGTAGGTGGTAAATGAGAGTGCTGCAGAGGGGACAGATCTTCTTCCAAGGGGGAGAGGGGGCAGGGTCTGCTAAAGGAGGCACCCTGATGGCAGGAGATTTATGCATCCGCTCTTGTGTCTGTCTAGGAGGAGGGAATCATTATGCAAGGCCAGCTGCAGGGGTGTGCACTGCTGTCGGGAAAAATTAGAAGTCTAGCAATGAACTATAAAGAAGGGAGAAATGACAGAGTGAATGAAAACTCCATGATAAACCCATTTAGGCTCTCTTCTCCCTGGGATGAAAGATGAAGCCTAATCTCTTTGGCATATATCCTGGGCTGAGACTCAAACAAATATGCCTAGATACGCTCAGGCACACGGCCCAGAATGTGCAATGACAAAGTCCACCCAAAGGATCTGTAACTGCACGGGGTATGGAGCAAGAGTCCTTTTTCTGCATGTTTAGCGAAGTTCTGGGGAAAGATCATAGCACACTAAGATGCTTTTGATCAGAAGAAATCTCATCTTCTGTCAAATGCCTTCTTTGTGTAAATATCTTGGAAAGAAAGCTTTTCTATTAGAATACCTTTGGGAAGTGCAGGGGAAAGAGGTGGACATAGTGAAGGGATGACAAGACTATAAAACAGTGAAAAGTACCCAAACTAAAGCTCTGGTATTTTACTCTTACTTGATCGAAGGATAACTTTCCAATTTCATCTGGCATTCCTTTCCCTAAGAGAATTTCTGTCTCAGTTGGGCAGGTCTGCATAACTTCTTGTCCTGTTTAAGGTAGAGGCATTTTTTTTCTCCTTTGTTAATACACTCAGAGAAATGAAATATTCCAAATATTTCTTCATTGTGCTTGCTAATAAAAACAGCCAGGATCTTGGGTCATACTGGTATCGGATAGCAAGGTCGTAGGGAAAGAAGGAGCACAGAAAGCAGTGCTCTATAATACATTCCCAAAGCCCCCTAGTTTCAATTCAAGCCCCAAGCCTAAGAGGGGAACTGTTTAGTAATTTTTCCTTCTGCCTGTCCTGACCACTGTTAAAGCCTAGGGGCTGGTGAAACTCTTCCTGGAATGCTAATGTCCTGCAGGAAGCCAGAAGGTACAAAATGGGAGCTGTTTGGAGAACACTTTCCTGCGGAGAAAAGGGAGGGAGGCATGTACTTCAATACTTTATTTCAAGTTACACATAAGGACCCATGGTGTTAGCCACATTTTTTACCAGGACAGAAGAAATACATTTTTCTCAGCACACCAACATTATAAATTCTGCCACTCTATGTCCTTCAGTGTAAGCTCTTCGAGATACAGTTTCATGAGAAATGTTTGTTCACTTAAATGTGTGAGAATTAGGAGGAAAAAACCAAACTGTAAGCAGTTCTACTGTAAAAGTCTTCCTTCCTACTATACAAGCA